AATGAATTGTAGAACGTTTGGAACAAAATCAAAGAATAATTTTACATTTTATATCGGCCATAAATATCATCGAAGTTTACAATACTCGAATCGAAATAACCCCAAATATAGAAACTCTGTAGTTCTCACTCATTAAATTTGGGTTAAAACATAACGAAGCATCACCACTATAATTGTCCCATCCGTTACTAACCAATTAACCCTAGCACAGTTTAAATCTGTTTCATAATAAATTAAGTGATATACACTTGTTATATATTAGAAAAATACAAATGAATGAATACCTCCGTAATATATCTGTTCAGTGGAAGAAAAATGGTACACCTAAGGATATGTTCTCTTTTCATATTATATTTACTATTCATACATAATCTAATGACGCATCTATTCATCTTTACCAGTTATAAACCATTTAACATTTGTCCACAGGTAACTTACTTTTCCCTATATATCACATTAATGAAATCAATGTGGTTTAGTGTTATCGGATATTTATTTAAAGTAAATCTATAGAAATCATGATAGAAATTATCTATGGCTTTTACTCCAACACACGAAGATTCAAATTCATCTCAGTGAAACTTCCAGAAGAGATATTCCGTTCGATTAGTGAACAGCACAACAATTCGCAAAACACAAAAAACCACAAATTTATTTCACTATATTTAAACTGACTACTGTTACCTTTTCAAGTAATAATAACCTGACACGGTAGAAAACTTCAAGCAATTCTAATTTTCATTTTATCATAGTAATGATATCTGTGAGAGCAAAAGAAGCGATCGAGTATAAGAAAAAAGGACAATAGGATTATGTTACTTAAGAACTAACATTAGATAAGTAGTGAATACATCCACTCCATTAATAAGGATTCAGAACCATATCACCCAATTTCTCAAAACACTGGTTACGATAATCACCAGTCCTCAACCATGTAGTCTACTTCTCCCTACATAGCTCTGTCTAACAGTGATTGTCTCCATGTACTGTTACGATTTAATATTTTGCTAGCTTCTTGTCTCCTTCCAAAATACATTTTCAACAGATATCATTGTTCCTCATGGTAGGCGATAATCAAACATACTTATCACATACTTATCACAACTACGTCAGTTGATGAACATTCACTACCTCGTCAATCGATTCGTCATATTTACCTAGCACTCTCTACCGAACTTCAAAACTTCCCACTCAGTGTGCTCAATGTATACTGGCGATGCTTCGGAGACACTAGTGATCGAATACTAGTAACCCACGAATGTAATCTATTCTTAATGGTCATAATTGACAACCACAAAATAAAACTGCTGTGTCATATACTCATCCCCTGTTTGGTAGACGGATGTCTCGTCTATGCCACAAGTGACGCAAATTAACAAATGTCAAGTGAACTGTCTGAATGAGTACACATATTTGTTCAGACACAAACCCTCTAGGTCTGAATTATAATATTTTAGATTTAATCAATGAATTAAACGGTGATATGTAGAAAGCATAAATGAAATGACATCCCTACTCATCAGTGGAAGGGAATGTTCGATCTCAACGATACTTGAGTGATCTGAATGATGTTTCATGTAGATAAATTCTTGTATAGAGAGTATACAGTTTCAAGTTAGATTAATAACTTAACTAATGTTAGTAGACATTAAAAAGCGTTGTATGCAATGAAAGCTCAAAGTAATTCTTAGATCATATCGGAAGGCAATATTTCTAGTTCAAATCAATAAAGCAGATTCAAATTAATGAGAAATCACATGTTCAACAGAACATTAAGTAATCTAAGAAACATTAGAAGTGAAGCAGTAGAAGGAGAAAACTAAAGATGAATTACTTGGACTGACCAATCCCTATTGTAACTGTCAGTCTAACTTCCTAACAGTGATTTGTAGTACTTGGAGTCTTAATAATTCACCTCATCACCCACATCAATATCACTTAATATGGCTTAATAAAGTCACATTTAACTCTAGTTATTTATAAAAAAACACATGTGTGTAATGATCAGTTGTCTACTGTAGTAAAAATAATGTAGTGTAAATGTGTGATGGCCAAATCCCTCAAACTGATCATGTAATAGCATTTACAACACAAAAAGGTAGATGTAACTTATACAGATAACTTGCACGGTTCTAATATATGACTATTCATTTCAATTATAAAGTAGATATATATTTGATTTAGAGTAGTTAACTTACTTATTTCTCCCTCTTTCAAATATCTTTACAACTGAAATTTATCATGATTAAGTTCGTTTTATTTGAGTTTGAATATCCATTGTGCTGACCAGCTTTAAAACTATACCAGAATTCACCCCAACCATTATTTTATCACTCTTCTACCGATATTTATAAACATCATAAAGATACATCGTTAAACTTAACGCGAAAACTATTTCAATACCTGCCAATCCCCCATTAACTTGTTATACTAACTCACAAATATAAATTCAATATCTGTAATATGAAGCTACATTTCCAGGAAACATAACTATTACTTTAATCAATAGTTTTCGGCATATAACGGTGGAATATGATATGAATTCATTGGAAAAAGAATTCTCCTTTCAATTATCTTTGTTCTATGAATTGTCAAAAGTATTAACTGTCTCATGAATAGCCAACGAACAGCTATCTGTACTCAGATCGTTCAGCTAAACAATTGCTCAGGAATAGTATGATTTTATTGTCTAAACTGTTAAGAACTTATTGTAGTAGTCCTTGGCCCAAACTACAATATTGCCACTAATTTGCCAGATATAATTGTTTACTCTAATATGGGATCAATTGTTAGAAGTTGAAGTACATGTGAAATTCACTCATAACAGTGAACGCAAGTCACTTCCAGATACTCAAGACCATATGATATAATTCGACCATCAGAGACTTTACATCTCAGACATTAAGATTTTAAGTGAATTCTGTTAATTTTGAATTACATTTAACTATAAATCCCTAAGTAATATTTATTTCTAACCATCAAAAAATCGAGAATAAAAGTCTAATACTAAGAGATGAGTGACCACAAGGTGGTGATTAATCTAATGTTTGTCTGATTATTTAGTGCTTATCGAATTCTATAAGTCAAGTTACAATATGGCCAATAGTCTAAGTGACTCGACATCGTGTTCACTACATCGAGATGGTGTGAGGAAGTGCACAGGAAAACATCACTCTAAATTTCGTACTGTTTAACACATTTTAACAAGGCGTACCTGTCATCCCACAGTGAGTGTCGTTCCCCTCACGTTTACAGGCACACCTTGCTGGTAAGTGCTGAATAGCATGAAACTTGCATCCAGGGTTTCCTGTCAACTACCTTCAACCATCTGACATATCAGAGTTTCCATCTAAATGATCTCAATTGTCATATACTAAACTCATCGTTTCATATAACGTGTCAAACTAAACAAAATAGATAGCCACTTTGAAAAATTATCAAAATACCAATCAAATTAAGAAACGCTTATTAGCGTATGTTTATATATTTAATGAAAGCTCGAAGTAATTCTTAGACCATATCGTAAGGCAATATTTCTAATTCAAATCAATAAAGCAGATTGTGATAATTAGGACTAATTGAATTATAGTACAAACTTGGAATTCTTGAAACAACGCAATCTAACCAAGGTGTAGTAGATCAGCACGAACGAACATATTGTATTTGGAATTCGACATCAGGCAGTCATCAAGTACAAATGAGTCATCAAATGCATACAAGCACAATATCCACCACAGTTTAAATGAGAATCCAAATTTCTACGATCAGTCGTACCTCTTATCCTTAGGTTCATCGTGTGTCTCTGTATGATCTGGAATGTACTCACTAGTATTAGATTTAACATCTAAAACTAGAACGGACTCACCTGGGTCCTGGAATTGTACACAATCATAGTGACATCAATTCACGACTTTAGCTAACTGATTTATAGACAGATAATTAAAGATGACCTGATTGATTCAATAAATGTAAATGGCATTGTGTCATTTATTATTGATTAAATAATTCACACATTACACAATTAGTACAGAATAATTAAATATTGAGAAATAGCTAAGTCAAACGACCAACAATGACGACAACAACAACAACGAAAAAACATAAGAAAGCAAGATATTGATGAATGTCTTAAAGATAAGTCAAATCAAAACATGGAAAGTATTGATCATCAATGTGCTGAATGAATAACAACGACAACGACAACAACAACAACATCAAATTACACAGTATTCATCTTCTGGAACTAAAGATTTTCAAATTTTATAAAAATTAATTTGACAATCTTCTTAAACGACCAATGTAAGGTAGATAAAAGCTTCCAGTGTATAAAGTATCATCATGTTCTAGTACTTCACAAGCATTTGGTAATTCATTTTGAAAATCTTTCCAAATTTCAATTATATGTCCATTTTCATCTAAACGAATTAACATTGACGATTTTCCTTTCGGTATTAGTGTGAATGGAAGCATGGAGATAATCTGTTGCAAAGATAGAAAAAAATAATGAAATACTGAATTCTTACTTAGTTTGGTGGGAAATTGCATAGAAGTTTAATATGTGTCACTAGATTCTCTGATCTACCTCTGTCATAATTCATTTTGAAGGTATTGTGAAGTTTATTTTACTTCGTAATTAGCTTCAGCTACAGATTCACATTAGTTAAGGTACCAGTGAAAACCAGGGAACATTTCTCAGTTGTTCCGTTGCAGTGTGGAAACCCTCAGCGTTTGCCCCTGCTAAGGCACCGATATAGAATCGTTTGATCCCTATTCATTTTCTCTGAAATGAGTTCTGTAGGTTTCATTGGGAATTCAAGACTGGTGGAGGTCAACCATGCCATTATGTGATTGCACTGCCATGTCATTAGTTGGTTGAATTTGAAAATGTCTACATACACTGTTCTAGGTTTACTACTCGACTGCCAAAAAATTCAAAAATGGAGTGACAATAAGATGGAGAATATTGATTATAAAAAATGCAGGAATATTATTAACCGTACACTGGAAGCCAACTGACGAATACAAGGATAAGCTGGTAGATAATTGAGTAGAAGCTCAGATAGAGGCTCGTCACGAAGAGGTGATACAGGGACCCAATATCCACCACTTGGACTGGCTTTGATATTATCCGGAAAACCAGGTAGCCCATCACTGAACACGGTCACTTCACCTCCGTCCAATGGAATTCGTAAAATTTGAAGTTTCATTGTTTCAACGAGTAATATGGATTTTCCGTCACTAGAAATTTCGATTCCGTTGGGAAAGCGCAAACCATCCATTATGTGACTGTATTGACCAGTTTTTGTATCAGCCATTGTTAGCCTAGAGAAATAGTTAAAGAAGAAACCTACATTAATTAGGATTCGTGTTCCAGAAATACAAATGATTGGAAGGCGTATTCAAAGTTTATTTCATGAAGATTCTGAAGTACATCGTATTAATTTGATCTTATTATATCTTTGACAGTTATTGAAGTCTATTGTTTCGTCCATATCTGTTTTGTATATTTTTAGGTATATTTTCCAGAATATAACGGTGACATCGTGGTTACGTGTATAAACGTTACTAAGAATAATGTGATATTTGTATACAATCCTGTGATTCCCGGTGGTCATTCGAATAATGTTTCGTTGTATCCAAATCAAGTTATTTGGTGGTTATTTGACAGCATTAAAAGACTTAATTGTAAACATTTAGAACCGAAGTATCCATCTGACTCATTGTCAAAAGAAAAGAGGTATTAATGCTTTTACATATCTGCAGTAATAACTCCGCCTGTAGCTCTTATAGGGTTGCTGCCGGTCCCAAGCCCGGGTAAGGAAGGAGGGTTGGGCATGGGGTTAGCGTCCCCATCCCGTAGAAAACTAACTCGCTAAAAAAACGCTTACCAGAAAAAATAATCCAAACCATTTTAACTCAGCCCTGGGAGTTAGAAGGTCTTCATTTAAAAGAATTATGACGCTTCATGGTGAAAACCGAGTTCCTTCGGAAGCCACGAGGCCGATGCCCCTTCTAACAACCAGAGCAAAACTTTTTATAGGTACATGGAACGTTCGAACAATGTGGGAAACCGGGAAGACCAGTCAAATATCAATGGAAATGAGGAGATACAACTTAGCAGTACTGGGAATCAGCGAAACCCACTGGACTCAAGCTGGACAGAAAAGGGTAGCTACGGGAGAGATGCTGCTATACTCCGGTCACGAAGAGGACAATGCTCCACACACTCAGGGAGTCGCTCTTATGCTGTCCAAAGTAGCACGAAATGCACTTGTAGGATGGGAATCTCACGGATCCACAATCATCAAAGCATCATTCAAAACAAAGAAGGAGGGGATCTTAATGAATATTATCCAATGTTATGCACCCACCAATGATAGCAACGACGAAATTAAAGATCAGTTCTACGAGCGGCTGCAGTCAATCATTGAGAAATGCCCAAGAAAGGACCTAACTATTCTGATGGGAAATCTAAATGCCAAAGTCGGAATAGACAATACTGGATATGAAGATATTATGGGACGACATGGACTGGGAGAAAGAAACGAAAATGGAGAAAGATTTGCAAATCTGTGTGCATTCAACAAATTGGTCATAGGAGGCACAATATTTCCACACAAGCGTATACACAAGGCTACATGGATCTCACCGGACCACACTACAGAGAACCAAATAGATCATATTTGCATCAACAAAAAATTCCGAAGGACAATGGAAGATGTGAGAACCAGGAGAGGTGCTGACGTAGCTTCAGATCACCATCTAGTTGTAGCCAATTTGAAACTGAAGCTAAAAAAGAACTGGACAAGTGGACAAACAGCAATACAAAGGTTCATTACAGCCTTCCTTCGAGATACTGACAAACTCAATGAATTCAAGATAGCTCTCAACAACAGGTTCCAAGCCTACACAATCTACTGAAAGAAGAAGAAACTACTATGGAGGACAACTGGAAAGGCATCAAGGAAGCATTAACTTCAACGTGTCAAGAGGTTCTGGGTGTAAAGAAATACCATCATAAGGAATGGATCTTTACAGAAACACTGGACAAGATCAAAGAAAGGAAGAACAAGAAGGCAGTAATAAACAACAGCCGAACACGAGCAGAGAAAGTCCAAGCACAAGCTGAATACATAGAAGCAAACAAACAAGTGAAGAGGAGCATTAGAGCCGACAAGAAGAAATACGTTGTAGAACTAGCAACGACGGCAGAAAAAGCTACTAGAGAAGAAAATATGAAACAGCTTCACGATACAGGGAAATACAGTAAACCAGAGAGGCCGGTCAAAGACAAAGAAGGCAGGAAAATCACCGAAATTCAACAACAGCGTAACAGATGGGTAGAATACTTCGAGGAACTCCTGAATAGGCCGGCTCCAATGAATCCACCGGACATCGAAGCGGCACACATAGATCTTCCTATAGATGTCAACCCACCAACGACGGAAGAAATTAGAATGGCCGTCAGACAAATCAAGAACGGGAAAGCAGCAGGACCCGACAACATACCAGCTGAAGCACTGAAACCAGACATCGAAGCAACCACAAGCATGCTTTATTTTCTATTCAAAAAGATTTGGGAGGAGGAACAAGTGCCAATGGACTGGAAAGAAGGACACCTCGTCAAGATTCCAAAGAAAGGAGATCTGAGCAAATGTGAAAACTACAGGGGCATTACACTACTGTCAATACCAGGGAAAGTCTTCAACAGAGTGTTGCTGAACCGGATGAAGGATGCAGTAGACGCTCAACTTCGAGATCAACAAGCTGGATTCCGTAAGGATCGGTCGTGCACAGACCAAATTGCAACACTACGGATCATCGTCGAACAATCAGTTGAGTGGAACTCATCACTATACATCAACTTCATTGATTATGAAAAGGCATTCGACAGTGTAGATAGGAGGACATTATGGAAACTTCTTCGACACTACGGAGTCCCTGAGAAGATTGTCAATATTATCCGGAACTCATACGACGGACTACAGTGCAAAGTAGTGCATGGAGGACAGCTGACAGATGCATTCCAAGTAAGGACCGGAGTCAGACAAGGCTGTTTACTCTCTCGCTTCCTCTTTCTTCTGGTGGTCGACTGGATTATGAAGACCTCAACATCTGAAGGAAAACACGGAATACAATGGACAGCTCAGAACCAATTAGACGATTTGGATTTCGCAGATGACCTAGCCCTCCTATCACGTACACACGAACAGATGCAGATGAAGACAGCCAGTGTAGCAGCAGTCTCTGCATCAGTAGGCCTCAGCATACACAAAGGGAAAACTAAGGTCCTCAAATTCGAAGCGGAGAACAGCAACCCAATCACACTTGATGGCAAAACTCTGGAAGATGTAGAGTCCGTCACATACCTGGGAAGCATCATCGATGAACAAGGAGGATCCGATGCAGACGTAAAGGCGAGGATCGGCAAAGCAAGGGTCGCATTCCTACAATTGAAGAACATATGGAACTCAAAACAACTTTCAACCAATATCAAAGTGAGAATCTTCAATACGAACGTCAAGGCAGTTCCACTGTATGGAGCTGAAACTTGAAGAACTACAACAACCACAATCAAGAAAGTACAAGTATTTATAAATAGCTGTCTACGCAAGATACTCAACATCCATTGGCCGGATACCATCAGCAATAGCCTTCTGTGGGAGAGAACAAACCAACTTCCAGCTGAAGAAGAAATTAGGAAAAGACGATGGAAATGGATAGGACATACATTACGCAAATCGTCAAACTGCATCAGGAGGCAAGCCCTAACTTGGAATCGTGAAGGGAAGCGAAAAAGAGGAAGGCCAAAGAACACATTGCGTCGGATGATAGAAGCAGATATGAAATGGATGAAATACAACTGGACGGAGCTAGAAAGGATTGCCCAGGACAGGGTTGGATGGAGAATGCTGGTGAGCGGCCTATGCTACTTCACGAGGAGTAACAGGCGTAAGTAAGTAAGTAATATCTGCAGTAATACAACCGTATATTTCATTTAATCTTTTAAAGATATTTTCTGTTTAGTAAACATTAATCAGTTGTGCTGAATTTCTCCAGAAAAATCGACACCGAGAACAGAAAGCATACATTTGCCAATGCCTAGTACTGTGTAACACGTTTTTGTCTTAATGGTTAGAGATTTAATTGTTGTCATGTAATTTATTGGTAAACACTGAATGTTTTGCTTTGGTCTTCTAGTTACAACTCAATGGAAAATTCTGCAGTTAGGAAATCAAATATACACAGATGCTTAATAAGACCAGATGGAATATGCCAAATCAAGTAGAACACTTCTTATTTTATCAACACTAAACAATCATTGACTAGTAAACAGTATTTTATTGCCTAGTCCTGTAGTGATATTCAGGTATTATATCTGCATTTTCGACATAGTCTATTCTATCTACGTTTTCCGAAAGCGTATCACCGAGCATCACAATCAAATATGCCATGATTAAAGACGTATTTGCCACTGTCTATTTGTAAGACTGTCTCTTTGAAAAATTGGCTGCTTGAGACTTGTGTCACGTGTTTCCGACGAGTTCCAACCAATACATAACTTAGGTCGATGATTTTCCGTTGACTAGCTCTGATGAATTAGTATTAAATGTTTAAATATTTCAGAACAAAATTCATGAAGAAAGTATCATCATCCTAAACCTAGTTAAAAATAGATATGAATTGAACCACTGAAATACAGATCATTTGTGAAAAACTTGTCATTACCTCCCACTAGGTAGTCCCTCTAAAATTGTTGTCCATAAATGTCGTAAAGGATTTTTTGTACTAGCTTCAGTAATAACAAGACTACCGTTCGGTAACATTACTGAATCATCAAAAAATGTAACTTTGAAATCTTCATCTAAGGGGAACAATTTTTTCACACTACCTAAAAGATGCAAAAATATAATCAATACTATTATTATTATTATTGTTTTTTGAACTGACCATCTTTTACCGAGACAGAGAATACACCTAAATAGGCATCCGTGACCAAGAAATTCTCCGAATTGTTGAACAATTTTAAACCTAATGGTCTACCACATTCATGTACACCAACTAAATATTTGGTGTATTAGTTAAGCTATAAGCTATAAAGAACAATATTACCGCAGTTTGGTGAACCAAGTGTTGCATGAACATAAATCCCAGAATCATTTATTTTTAATATTTTCCCTTGAATCACTGTGGCATACAATGAACCTATTGGATAGTTTCCCAATTAAGAAAGCTAAACAAAACTACACTACTTACCATCATGATAAATTAAACTTTCAGGACCACTGTAATTCATTAAATCAATCTTTTCTAACTTTCCATAATTTTTATTTGCAATAAGTTGGTCATTCAGCTCAATGGATGGATTAATATGATAAGTATATGAATCGGTTGATTTATTCAGAAAACAGCGTATTATATATCCAATACAAATGACTGTTATTGATCTAAAAACAAGTTTTCTCAGTTCTATCATTAGAACAGTCTTTTTTATGGTTGAGAGCAACAGAATCATTTATTAAGCTTACTATATATACATAAATAGATTACGATGGCTTTCAAAAAAAATACAATTATGGTCGATAATAATTGATCAATTTCCGTTGCATTGTTGAACATGAATTTACTGACCTAAAGGTCATTTCACAAACAGATTCTCTAGTGTGCCTTACACAATAGAACAAATTATTGTTGGTCTTATGACCAACGTTAAATATATGAACACATGCTAATAAGCGTTTCTTAATTTGATTGGTATTTTGATAATTTTTCAAAGTGGCTATCTATTTTGTTTAGTTTGACACGTTATATGAAACGATGAGTTTAGTATATGACAATTGAGATCATTTAGATGGAAACTCTGATATGTCAGATGGTTGAAGGTAGTTGACAGGAAACCCTGGATGCAAGTTTCATGCTATTCAGCACTTACCAGCAAGGTGTGCCTGTAAACGTGAGGGGAACGACACTCACTGTGGGATGACAGGTACGCCTTGTTAAAATGTGTTAAACAGTACGAAATTTAGAGTGATGTTTTCCTGTGCACTTCCTCACACCATCTCGATGTAGTGAACACGATGTCGAGTCACTTAGACTATTGGCCATATTGTAACTTGACTTATAGAATTCGATAAGCACTAAATAATCAGACAAACATTAGATTAATCACCACCTTGTGGTCACTCATCTCTTAGTATTAGACTTTTATTCTCGATTTTTTGATGGTTAGAAATAAATATTACTTAGGGATTTATAGTTAAATGTAATTCAAAATTAACAGCATTCACTTAAAATCTTAATGTCTGAGATGTAAAGTCTCTGATGGTCGAATTATATCATATGGTCTTGAGTATCTGGAAGTGACTTGCGTTCACTGTTATGAGTGAATTTCACATGTACTTCAACTTCTAACAATTGATCCCATATTAGAGTAAACAATTATATCTGGCAAATTAGTGGCAATATTGTAGTTTGGGCCAAGGACTACTACAATAAGTTCTTAACAGTTTAGACAATAAAATCATACTATTCCTGAGCAATTGTTTAGCTGAACGATCTGAGTACAGATAGCTGTTCGTTGGCTATTCATGAGACAGTTAATACTTTTGACAATTCATAGAACAAAGATAATTGAAAGGAGAATTCTTTTTCCAATGAATTCATATCATATTCCACCGTTATATGCCGAAAACTATTGATTAAAGTAATAGTTATGTTTCCTGGAAATGTAGCTTCATATTACAGATATTGAATTTATATTTGTGAGTTAGTATAACAAGTTAATGGGGGATTGGCAGGTATTGAAATAGTTTTCGCGTTAAGTTTAACGATGTATCTTTATGATGTTTATAAATATCGGTAGAAGAGTGATAAAATAATGGTTGGGGTGAATTCTGGTATAGTTTTAAAGCTGGTCAGCACAATGGATATTCAAACTCAAATAAAACGAACTTAATCATGATAAATTTCAGTTGTAAAGATATTTGAAAGAGGGAGAAATAAGTAAGTTAACTACTCTAAATCAAATATATATCTACTTTATAATTGAAATGAATAGTCATATATTAGAACCGTGCAAGTTATCTGTATAAGTTACATCTACCTTTTTGTGTTGTAAATGCTATTACATGATCAGTTTGAGGGATTTGGCCATCACACATTTACACTACATTATTTTTACTACAGTAGACAACTGATCATTACACACATGTGTTTTTTTATAAATAACTAGAGTTAAATGTGACTTTATTAAGCCATATTAAGTGATATTGATGTGGGTGATGAGGTGAATTATTAAGACTCCAAGTACTACAAATCACTGTTAGGAAGTTAGACTGACAGTTACAATAGGGATTGGTCAGTCCAAGTAATTCATCTTTAGTTTTCTCCTTCTACTGCTTCACTTCTAATGTTTCTTAGATTACTTAATGTTCTGTTGAACATGTGATTTCTCATTAATTTGAATCTGCTTTATTGATTTGAACTAGAAATATTGCCTTCCGATATGATCTAAGAATTACTTTGAGCTTTCATTGCATACAACGCTTTTTAATGTCTACTAACATTAGTTAAGTTATTAATCTAACTTGAAACTGTATACTCTCTATACAAGAATTTATCTACATGAAACATCATTCAGATCACTCAAGTATCGTTGAGATCGAACATTCCCTTCCACTGATGAGTAGGGATGTCATTTCATTTATGCTTTCTACATATCACCGTTTAATTCATTGATTAAATCTAAAATATTATAATTCAGACCTAGAGGGTTTGTGTCTGAACAAATATGTGCACTCATTCAGACAGTTCACTTGACATTTGTTAATTTGCGTCACTTGTGGCATAGACGAGACATCCGTCTACCAAACAGGGGATGAGTATATGACACAGCAGTTTTATTTTGTGGTTGTCAATTATGACCATTAAGAATAGATTACATTCGTGGGTTACTAGTATTCGATCACTAGTGTCTCCGAAGCATCGCCAGTATACATTGAGCACACTGAGTGGGAAGTTTTGAAGTTCGGTAGAGAGTGCTAGGTAAATATGACGAATCGATTGACGAGGTAGTGAATGTTCATCAACTGACGTAGTTGTGATAAGTATGTGATAAGTATGTTTGATTATCGCCTACCATGAGGAACAATGATATCTGTTGAAAATGTATTTTGGAAGGAGACAAGAAGCTAGCAAAATATTAAATCGTAACAGTACATGGAGACAATCACTGTTAGACAGAGCTATGTAGGGAGAAGTAGACTACATGGTTGAGGACTGGTGATTATCGTAACCAGTGTTTTGAGAAATTGGGTGATATGGTTCTGAATCCTTATTAATGGAGTGGATGTATTCACTACTTATCTAATGTTAGTTCTTAAGTAACATAATCCTATTGTCCTTTTTTCTTATACTCGATCGCTTCTTTTGCTCTCACAGATATCATTACTATGATAAAATGAAAATTAGAATTGCTTGAAGTTTTCTACCGTGTCAGGTTATTATTACTTGAAAAGGTAACAGTAGTCAGTTTAAATATAGTGAAATAAATTTGTGGTTTTTTGTGTTTTGCGAATTGTTGTGCTGTTCACTAATCGAACGGAATATCTCTTCTGGAAGTTTCACTGAGATGAATTTGAATCTTCGTGTGTTGGAGTAAAAGCCATAGATAATTTCTATCATGATTTCTATAGATTTACTTTAAATAAATATCCGATAACACTAAACCACATTGATTTCATTAATGTGATATATAGGGAAAAGTAAGTTACCTGTGGACAAATGTTAAATGGTTTATAACTGGTAAAGATGAATAGATGCGTCATTAGATTATGTATGAATAGTAAATATAATATGAAAAGAGAACATATCCTTAGGTGTACCATTTTTCTTCCACTGAACAGATATATTACGGAGGTATTCATTCATTTGTATTTTTCTAATATATAACAAGTGTATATCACTTAATTTATTATGAAACAGATTTAAACTGTGCTAGGGTTAATTGGTTAGTAACGGATGGGACAATTATAGTGGTGATGCTTCGTTATGTTTTAACCCAAATTTAATGAGTGAGAACTACAGAGTTTCTATATTTGGGGTTATTTCGATTCGAGTATTGTAAACTTCGATGATATTTATGGCCGATATAAAATGTAAAATTATTCTTTGATTTTGTTCCAAACGTTCTACAATTCATTTGTTGAATAAATACGCTCTATTAACTGTTTGTAAACTGCCTTATCAGCATCTAGTAGCACTGTATTGTCTGAAAACCGAAATTTGAATATTAATATAAAGACTAAACGAAGCTTTATCTGTCGTATATGTAAAATAAAATCATTTATAGACCACTATATCGAGTTGTACTTATAACAAGTAAATAGAATTTAAAATCAGCGATTTTAATAGGCTGAAACTAAAGGATAGGGAGTAAAAGGAATCCAAAATTTCGGTTTAACATGTTTTATATATAGGAAGTTCCAAGAACGAGTGAGTGGAATGTTCCACGAGAATATAAATGAGTCATAACAATTATATGACTATATATGAAGGACGTCAGAGACATGATTATTATCAGATAACAATGATATTTTTAAATGGTTAACCTCACTACAATGATGCTATGGTATATGGAAAAATCACTGATATGACTACTTGTCATGAGGGAACAAAAATTGATGAGGCGATATTCAAAGAAGTGGACAAGATAGTCAATGAAGATTTCATTATTTACTACAAGCAATTCAATCAGTGATCAATAAGTTTATCAAAATACACTGGATCATATAACTAAATATAACGATCAAATACTGAATTACATCTATAGAAAATTCTCATTTCCACAATCTATGTATAAAACATATTGTGTTTTGATGAAGCGATTGATTCAATGAAATAGATAGGTTTGTGTAGTAGAAGTTTTGAACTATGGTAAACTGTTGAGAAGATATTTCGTCTTGTATGTTTCTTGTATGCTTCAAAGTTGGACTCATGAAAATATTTGAAAATATAAACGAAAGTAAGATTTTCGACCGATCACATTCTACATAACTTGAACAGTTTAAACTGTATCATTTAATTTTAATGATCAGAAAGTGCTTAATCTTTTTCATATTTGTTCGTGAACTGAAAGACCAATTTTGAACATTAAATGAACCAGTGCAATTATTTTCATTTCTTATCATTTGCAAACTAATTTCCTTAAATCAACCAAAAGTGGACCACTTTCAATGTGAGGTTATTTTCAAATGTGATTATCAATTTTAATGTACTTGTGGAAGAAAGTTCATAGGAAGGACTGAAAGAGGGTTATCTACAAGCTTTTCTGAAAATACTCCCTAAATTGAAGTATTCACATGTAAAATGATTGGATATTTGATCGATGAACACAATATGGACTTTAAAAGGCGTTTGAAATAATAAATAATGAAGAGAAATCATTTTTACTTCACTTTTCAGAAGCCATCAAGTTTGTTTTAAGTTATCAATTAATTATCACTTATTACTTAAACATTTTCT